CCCCAAAACCCCAAAACCCCAAAACCCCAATATTTTTCTGTTTTATTGAATTACATTTGATTCAGATCCTACCTATTAAGCCAATATCTTTTGAATTCGACCTTTGCAAATTGCATGATAGAATGATTTGTTATCATCATAGATACTCTCTGCCTTTTCCTTATTAACTTCAGTAAGAGCTTTAAACAATGGAAGAACAAACTTCATTCTTCCTACTTCTCCTAAGAATTTGTAAATTTGATCATGAATAACACTGTAGTCTAATTTGAGGGCAGCATAGTACCATCCAACTAAAACTTCACAGTTCTTATTTTCACTAATATGCAAGGCTTCATCTATTTTTGCTAATATATTTGAATCAAAGTGCTCTATAGAATAATTTGATATATCTTACCTTCATTTAGCATGATTTTCTGGGTGAAAGCAATCAAGAGTCCAACATTTTCTTTGAAAATATCCAAATTAGCTGGATCCTTTCCATCTTTGAATTGATCAAAAATAACTTCCATCTGCTTCCATTCTTCAAAGTCAGAATCATGGATAACTGGAGGAAGCTCTCCAGAGTATAGCCATTCTTTTAAATCAATCATAGATAAGATTTCCTGAGATTTAGCTTCATCATAATTGGATTTAATAAAATCAATCAGCTCAGCAACAAATTCTCTCGTTGAAATGTTTCCTCCCTCTCTGGTCTTAAGGTAGTTTCTAATGAATTCCAAGAATTTCTCTTCTGTCAACAAAAGTTCGAGGTAGTATAAGAAATAATATCCCTTTTCATATTGTGTGGAACCAAGAACGTCATCTGGATTCTGATGCTCATTTAGCTCAGGAACAAGTACACATCCAGCTCCTTTGCCAGTTTTATTTTGAAGAACACCTTGCAGGCTTGACAGTCCTTTTTTTAAGTGCAGCTTGTGAGCATTTTCTCCATACAATCTATGGACCATCTTTGCTTCAATATATCTTGTGAAACCTTCATTAAGCCAGAAATCTTCCCAGTTAGAGTTTGTCAGATAATTTCCAGTCCATGAATGAGTAATCTCATGGCAAACTACATTAACTGCTGATTTATCTCCAACAACTATTGTTGGTGTAGCAAAAGTAGTGACTGGGTTCTCCATTCCTCCGTAAGGGAAACTAGGTGGAAGGATGACAACGAAATAGTTCTTCAAAGGATATTCGAACAAGATTTCTTCTCCAACTTTAAGGAATTTTTCCATATCTTCGAATTCTTCTGCGCATGTATCTACATAAGATTCTTCAGCATAAACTCCTCATCTCTCTCCAATTTTTCTAAAGGAAAGATTTCCAGCACAAATAGAGACCAAGTAGGATGGAATAGGCATTGGCATATCGAACTCAGTGATTTTAAACCCATCTTCAGTAGTCTCTTCACTAACTACATCTGCACTGAGGAGTACAGTCAAAGGACTCTTAACCTTAGTCTTCCCTGTGTATGTGGTTTTGATAGAAGGAGTGTCTTGACAAGGGAATACACATCTAGCATAAATAGACTGAGACTGAGAAAACAAGAATGGATGTTCTTTATCCAAAGTCTGGTCAGGCTGCAACCAAGAAAGAGCCGAGGAATTAGGCAAGGTAGTATACTCAATTTCAAGATCAAAATTACTTCCACTTGTCACTTTGCTATCCAAGATCACTTCAAGTTTGCTTCCAATATCTTTCTCCTCTCCAAGCTTAAAGGTAGCTCCTGGAATATTAATAATATTCAATTGCCAGGAATCAAGAATTACAGTTTGAATATCAGTGATGGCAGTCATCTTCAAAGTAACTTTTCCCTCGAGTTGAGAGGTTTCGAAGTTGACAAACCAGTCAAAATGAATCTTGTTAGTTTTAACTTCTTTATAGTTACTAAAGGTACTCCTAAACAAGATGGTTCAGAACATGAGAAGACAAGTTATATTTATTAAAATCCTACCTGTCATCGGTAATTCTAACATCTTCTAATGAGAATGCTTTGCTTTCTTCCATTGAATCTATTTGGATGAATTAATAATTCTACAATTTTTTTATTAAAATTTGGGGTTTTGGGGTTTTGGGGTTTTGGGGTTTTGGGG